GGTTTTTATTTATTTATTTTTATATAAATCAAAAAATTAGGAAATTAAGATTGAAATATTGAAATTTTCATAAGGCCTGTGAGTTAGAAACTTGATTCTCCTTATATAATATATAAATTAGTGCTTTATATGATTTTCCTAAGAAAAAAATTTCAATTGGGAGTTGTGAAATTCCAAATATTACGAAGGCCATGAAAGCAAGAGAATCAAATTATACATTAATTTTTCTAACTCATAGGTTGCGGCACTTTGGCAAGGTTTTGGGTATAAATTTTGAGATCTCGGATTTTTCACTTTTCAGTGTCAACTCCCAGGGGTTTGATGTAGTGGTCTTAGGACAACTCTCTAAGTACTGGACAAATCGTATCCAGAGTTTGGGTGTGGAATCGAATCTTGACAGCTGCATTCTTTGACTTAAATGGTGTGGACATTGTGAGGTTAGTGCACACCCCCGAAATTTGCCCCTCGTCCTACTCTGGTTGAACCAACAATAGATAAAAAAATTGAATTATTTGTTTTACATATTTTTAGTCAAAATTTTTAATATCTTAAGAATTTTTTTATTTTTATTTTTTAGATATATTTAACTTAGATACACTTAAAAAGTATAATTTATAGAAAAAAAATCTTTAAAAAATTTATTAAATACAAAAATTTTGTATATTTTTGTATTCTTGTGTATTTATTAAAAATTTTAAATATTTTTTCACAAATAATTTATATTTTAGGTGCATCTAAGTTATATATATCTAGAAAGTTAAAATTTTACTTAAAATATTAAAAAAAAAATTCACTAAAAGCAAGAAAAACACAAAAAATTAAAAACTCAATTTTCAAAAAATTCATAAAAACCAAACAAGGTGAATAATCTTTCTCCTCTCAATGGGCGATAAATATAATTTCAAAAATAACCATTAATTTTTTATAATATAGATTTGATTCAAACGTATAACTACCGATATCCAATTATAATAATTTTTTGCATAAATATTCTACTGAATTACTGAACGAGTCCTAAAAAGTGAATTGTTCGAATTATTGAAACAATACTTATGATGAATTCTACAGATCTCTCAAATCCTCTTATGTTTAAATCCTGATATAAGAGAAGCCTAATCTTTATAAATAAAGTTTTGTTTTAAAATAGGCTTGTTTTGAGAAGTAGTTAAAAGTTAACTTATTAGCCTTTTTTTTGAGATTTTTAAAAAAATGTGCAATAAAAAGAAAAATAAAAGAATATAGGATCCGAATAAATTAATAAATTGACTTTTCTTTTTTTTTTTTTTTTTTTTCCTCTGTCAAAAAAGGCCATAATATTTCTTTGATCTCATGCATTATGCATGCCAATCACTAGTTCACATGAAATGATGAACATTACGAGCCATTTGACTTCAATCATAATTTGGATTTTTTCATGACTATAAAGATGGAAAAATTAATGGTTAGTCCATGACGGCACATGGTCATATCCCTTATTAATTATAATTTATTATATTTTTTTATATTTTTCAATCATTCATTATAAATTTGTAAATTTTACCATCTCTATTAATCAAAACACCGTGTAACGGTATTCCAAGACTAACCAATAACTTCTCCTAAAAAGGACCATTCAATTTTATTTATTTTTTTGTTAATTTTATAAACATTGTTTGAACTAAATTAAAAAAAAAATAAAAAAAATCACTTTACTAGATGAACAAGTTGAACTAAATTCACTTTATTACGTAAACACTGATTATTTTCAAAAAAGAGTTTCCTTTTTCTAATCCTTCATAGATAACTAGATCATCGACAAAAAAAGGGGCCCAATCAATGAAACAACAAAACAAACACAACTAAACTGAAAAATGTTATGTTATAATATAATATATAAAATATAGGTAGATATCTACAACTTTAATAAAAAAATATTATCTGATTTTTTGAGGAAGAGAAAAGGAATGCAAGTTTTAATATTTTTTTTTGAAAATTTGTGAGAGAGATTAGGGGGGAGAGATTATGAAATATTTTGGTTATTAAATAAATAAATTAGTCAATAATTTTTTAGATTTATTTTGTAAATTAAAAATAAATAAATCAGTCAATAGTTTTTTTTAATCTATTTTGTAAATTAAAAATCAATAAGACTTGAAAATTGATTAATTTGTCCCATTAAGTGATTTAAAATTTTAATAGATATACATAAAAAAAATAGATAATTATATTATTAAATCATAATTTAAATTTAGATATTGTCATATTTTTGTGAGATCTATATCTAAATTCTTATTTTCTTTATTTTTGTGTGGTTTCTATTTGTTTGTTTTTTTTCAATTTATTACGATAGAGTTGTGGGTTTCTATTTTTTTATTTATTTAATTTATCTATGATTTCTATTTGTTTTTAATTATTATTATTTAGGTAAGTTATGACGTGAGTTAGATATGTGATGGACATGTAAGTTTTATTGATTTAAAGTATGATGGTGTAAACTATTTTCAAATTAGATTTGTTTAGATAGAATTTAAAGATTTTTAAAATTTATAATTGAATATTGAGAGGCAAAAAAAAAAAATAGGTTTTAACTGAATAAATAAAAATCATATTTATTAATTTTATTTGTTTGTATATCTGATTTTTAATTATTATTATTTTTTGAAATATTATCTGATTTTTTGAGAGAGTGAAAAGGAAGGCAAGTTTTAATATTTTCTTTTGGAAATTGTTGAGAAAAATTAGAATGGAGAGATTATGAAATATTTTTGTTATCTTTCTATTTGAAATCCATAAATTAAGGGATAATTATTATTTCTAAAATAATTAAATAGGTATAGGAGAAGTTGAAAAGGGGGTAATTATTATTTCTAAAATAATTAAATAGGTATGGGAAAAGTTGAAAAGGGTATGTATGAGAGAAATCAAAAAAGTTTAGGAGAAGTCAATAAACGTTGAGGTTTTTTTTTATTTATTTATATATAAATCAAAAAATTAGAAAATTAAGATTGAAATATTAAAATTTTCATAAGGCCTGTGAGTTAGAAACTTGATTCTCCTTATATAATATATAAATTAGTGCTTTATATGATTTTCCTAAGAAAAAAATTTCAATTGGGAGTTGTGAAATTCCAAATATTACGAAGGCCATGAAAGCAAGAGAATCAAATTATACATTAATTTTTCTAACTCATAGGTTGCGGCACTTTGGCAAGGTTTTGGGTATAAATTTTGAGATCTCGGATTTTTCACTTTTCAGTGTCAACTCCCAGGGGTTTGATGTAGTGGTCTTAGGACAACTCTCTAAGTACTGGACAAATCGTATCCAGAGTTTGGGTGTGGAATCGAATCTTGACAGCTGCATTCTTTGACTTAAATGGTGTGGACATTGTGAGGTTAGTGCACACCCCCGAAATTTGCCCCTCGTCCTACTCTGGTTAAACCAACAATAGATAAAAAAATTGAATTATTTGTTTTACGTATTTTTAGTCAAAATTTTTAATATCTTAAGAATTTTTTTATTTTTATTTTTTAGATATATTTAACATAGATACACTTAAAAAGTATAATTTATAGAAAAAAAATCTTTAAAAAATTTATTAAATACAAAAATTTTGTATATTTTTGTATTCTTGTGTATTTATTAAAAATTTTAAATATTTTTTCACAAATAATTTATATTTTAGGTGCATCTAAGTTATATATATCTAGAAAGTTAAAATTTTACTTAAAATATTAAAAAAAAATTCACTAAAAGCAAGAAAAACACAAAAAATTAAAAACTCAATTTTCAAAAAATCCATAAAAACCAAACAAGTTGAATAATCTTTCTCCTCTCAATGGACGATAAATATAATTTCAAGAATAACCATTAATTTTTTATAATATAGATTTGATTCAAACGTATAACTACCGATATCCAAGAATAATAATTTTTTGCATAGATATTCTACTGAATTATTGAACGAGTCCTAAAAAGTGAATTGTTCGAATTATTGAAACAAGACTTATGATGAATTCTACAGATCTCTCAAATTCTCTTATGTTTAAATCCTGATATAAGAGAAGCCTAATCCTTATAAATAAAGTTTTGTTTTAAAATAGGCTTGTTTTGAGTAGTTAAAAGTTAGCTTATTAGCTTTTTTTTTGAGATTTTTTAAAAAATGTACAATAAAAATAAAAATAAAAGAATAATAAAATCCGAATAAATTAATAAGTTGACTTTTCTTTTCTGTTTTTTTTTTTCCTCTGTCAAAAAAGGCCATAATAATTCCTTGATCAGTGCATTGAGCATGCCAAGCACTAGTTCACATGAAATGATGAACATTACGAGCCATTTGACTTCAATCATAATTTGGGTTTTTTCATGACTATAAAGATGGAAAAATTATTGGTTAGTCCATGACGGCGCATGGTCATATCCCTTATTAATTATAATTTATTATATTTTTTTATATTTTTCAATCACTCATTATAAATTCGCAAGTTTTATCATCTCTATTAATCAAAACACCGTGTAACGGTATTCCAAGACTAACCAATAACTTCTCCTAAAAAGGACCATTCAATTTTATTTTATTTTTTTGTTAATTTATAAACATTGTTTGAACTAAATTAAAAAAAAAATAAAAAAAATCACTTTACTAGATGAACAAGTTGAACTAAATTCACTTTATTATGTAAACACTGATTATTTTCAAAAAAAAAAGTTTGCTTTTTCTAATCCTTCATAGATAACTAGATCATCGACAAAAAGGGTGGCCCAATCAATGAAACAACAAAACAAACACAACTAAACTGAAAAATGTGCCAATTGATCTTTATCAAATTTCGTTGTCCACTTGTGCACGCATACAAAAACAATAATGCTATTTATTGGTATATTAATTAATATATTAATATTTTTTTTAAAAAAAAATAATATATTAATAAATGATTATGTGATATAATTTTAAAAATTCTAAATATTTATAATTTATATAATATGTAAGATTATAATTTTAAAATAATAATATCAGTGTATTGCAAGCTAACGTATACAATATAGGTGAATCCAAAAATTACAATGCGCACATTCACAGGCTGTACTAGAATCTACGAAACCTACCTCACAGTAGGCGCATAGGGAGTTAATGTCCTTGCGTGTTCGAGCTAAAGTGAGAAGATGCGGGTGACCTTTAAAGTTAAAGGTGATCCCATATTTTACATTCGAACACCGATCTAAAGGACGGATGCAATTCATATGAAGAGATTGATCGCAACCGCCACAATAATAGAACCAATATTTTGGGTCTATGTCTTCCTCGCAGATTTCACATATATACTCCTCATTGTCAATTGACAGGAGAGTAGGTTAGGATGAATGGATGTTCATCGTATCTGTGCCTAACCGTACGTGTCATAAGAACACACCTTTGACATACATTGAAGTTGCAAGTCTCACATAAAAACCCAAACCCAGCACAATCATCACATGCATTGCAACCAAATCCTGTTGGCCTTAGAGCAAGGGTGTGATTGTGAGCTTCATGTCTGATAGTGCGCGGTAGGGATGCACACCCAATATCAAGGAAGAACTCGCATTCAGAGCAACCGAATTTAAACAAATTGCACCATATGCTGCAACATCGACAAAAATATGGTTGAAAATTTGTGGTCAAGCAAAGTGTGTGCTGTGGGTGACATGGGTGGTGCATCGTACTGGGTAACTCTGCACAATACTCGTGGAGTAAAAAGTTGCATTGAACACAATGGTAAAAAGGGCCCGAGATTCTTCGAGAACACGCATTGCATTTTTCTTCATCCTCTACCTCATTCAGGAGGGGTGAGTTGCTCTCAGAGTGTGACTCGTGGTCGATTTGTTTGTTAGAAAAAATATAAAGTGTGTTCATGACTAAAATGTCTAATATCTGTTGCTTCTTTACACTTCCCCACTACTTTGATGTGATTGACAAATAGAGTTCTCAGATCAACAGACTCATCGGCTGGCAAGGTGATCCGATTTTCAACTTCAATCTCTGCATCGCAATCCCTGAAACCAAAAAAAATGAATAGTTTGTGATCAAAGTAAATCACTAACCCAAAACAAAAAATAAGAGTCAAACAGGCAAATATCAACTTGGATAGCTCAATATTTGATGTTGCTCTCCCCGAATTAAGCGTGATCTTATGTTCAGTCTCAACTTCGCAATCCCTGAAACCACATATCCAAGGTTGGAGCGTTATCAAAAGATATAATAATAATAATGAAATCAAATTATTCACAGAAAGTTAAAAGAAAAATGTTGCAAGGCAGAAGGGTCAACGACGTGCTTGGAATGCTCCATCTTTGATGCAACGCAGTTTACATGGACAAAATATGTGCATTTGGAGTCGGAACAATAATAAACCCAATTTCTTCTGTACAATGGCTTGTTACAGATTCTGCAGTCCTCGTGTCTATGTGTATTATGTGTATATGGAATAGAATAGATGAGGGTGAGATGGTGAGGGTGGTGATGATCACCAAGTTTAATGGTGCTAGGTAATGAATTAGCACATTTCTGGCTGACCCAGAATCCACAGGTGGTACATAAGTAGGAGGTGCCTCCGTGTTCTTCACCGCAAGCATCACAAAAGAACATGGCTGACTTTTCCAAGGGGATCAACTGATGTGGGTGACATTTGAGCTCAATCCTCTGTTGAATATTGGACACCACCGAAGCACACCTTATGTCGACATCGAACTGGCATTGAAAGCAATTGTAAACAAATCGGTCGCAATGTTCTCTACAAACATCACAAATGCAAGAATAAGGTGGCTTTGAAAGGAGAGTAAGGGGGTGTTCAGGGTGAGCAGGATGATATGTCATTTCCCCGGGTAGTTCTGCACATGATTTGTGGAAGAAAAACTTGCATTTGGTGCAACCGTAGGATAGACCTGAGATTGGTTGCTGACACCCATAGCAATGAACTTTCACACCTTCTTCCATGTAGTCTGTCCTTAGGATCAATGGATGGTCATGGCAGAAGTGTTCAAGCTCCATCTCTCTCTCTCTCTCTCTCTCTCTCTCTCTCTCTCTCTCTCTCTCTCTTCCTTCTTGATGGTAAATCTTGAAAGCGTTGAAGGCAGGAACTGGAGAATATATAAGTCCAGAAAGTAGAAAAGAATCGGTTCTGTTAATAATTTAAAAATTCCCTTTAAATCAAGTGAGCTCATTTACGGCTGTTCATAACTTAAAAGCAATGGCTTCAAAAGGTATAAAAAACATGAATTGTCAATATTGGGATTTATGCAGCTCAAATACCATTCTGTGGGGACTAATTTAATCAGATATTAAGAGGGTACAAACTATAATAATATATTTTGTAAATGACAGACTACAATGAGAATAATAACAATCATCATCCATTATCATCACTGTCTTGATCACTGTCATATACAAATATGAGAAGATAGAACTGTATTTTACGGTCTTGATAAAAGTATGAAAAGAGCAATGCAACAAATATTCAACTCCTAACATTTTGTAGTTTTAATACCTCTTTATCTTATAACCAACTCACTTTCAGCTATAATCGAAGCACCACGATTATAACCAACCGCTACTAAAAATATAACCAAAGACCACTTTGGTCTTAACCAAAATAACAATCAAATTAGGTCATAATTACTACTATAATAGGTCATAACAAAAAAAAAAAAAAAAAAAAAAAAAAACCCCCCCCAAAAAAAAAACTTAAACCTCATACCCACAAAGTCATAACTACATAATCAAAACCACAAAAGACCATAACCGGACATATGATAAATCTAAAAAAAATAGTGTGCAACTCCAATGGATTCGGTCGGATCGAATCAGAACCGGACATAATCAAAACTACAAGATCACTGAATGAGGCCGTGTCACTGACATTAATAAATACACACAACTACTTTTGTCTCTAGTGATAAGGGGTGACTGCTGTGCGTGAAGCACGGCAGTGACTGTAGTGCCTCCATTTGAGGTGTAATATGACCTTATTTTTATGATCCAAACCGTCTATTTTGTAGGGTTTGTTGAGTACTTCATGCCTACCAAAAATCATATTAATCGGATATCAACAAATATATGATCGGATTGCATATTTTTTATGTTATTTCTCAAAATAAAACTTATTATTTATTTTTTTGGTTATCGATCATATAGTTGTTGATATCCCATTAATATGATTTTTGGTAGGCATGAAGTACTCAACAAATCCTACAAAATGAACGGTTTGGATCATAAAAATAAGACCATATTACACCTCAAATGGAGACACTACAGTCACTGCTGTGCTTCACGCACAGCAGTGACCCCTTATCCGATTATATATGGGGTGTGCAACTCCAACGGATTCGGTCCAATCTTCATTCTGTTTTATATTGTCGGTCAGGAAGGGAATTTTATTTATTTATTTATTTTCTATCTAATTTGATTTCAAATTTGAATAAAAATAGTTGATTTGATAGGCACTCATTAAATTTTCATCAATTTTTTTGTTTTAATCTAGCGTTAATCCCAAATTTTCCTTTTCATTAAATTTGATGAAAAACAATCATCTCCAATACTTTCTCTCTTTAAATTTTAATCAAATTCAAATTTGACCAAGGATTTGATAAATTCTCAATTCGATTATAAAAAAAAATTACCACAAAACATATATATAAAAACATAACAGTACATATAACAAATCACATACAAAGCTATGAACAGTTGTGTCCTCCAGACAGACACTGAAAGGGGGGGAAAAAAAAAACACTGGACCTGTTTCTTTGCCGCAATCGAACACTGAGACTGAGACGAGTAGCTAGAGCTGCGGAGACGAGTAACGACAGCTGCGGTGGTGTCGCTTCACCGCCGCTGTCAGTGAGAGAACTAGGGTTTAAGCCTAGTTCATTTGATCTACGATCCAAATTAGTAATTACTCTTAATCCAACGGCTTATATTATAGGCATAGTTAAGTGTTTTATAAATTTACGATTATTAATTAGTGCACTAACTACTATATTAATCGTAGTTATGATATTATTATTGGCTCTACTCATTATACAAATTACAAATATCAAAAAAATTTTAAATTATATCACATCATTAATTAGTACATTAGTTAGTATACTAATTAATATATATAACATTATTCATAAATTTAAGGAAAATGTTATGGATCCCAAATAAATTATTAAATTTTCTAACAGGGTCCGTTTGGTAGAGTTGTGGAAAAATGATTATAGATTATAGTTTAACAGATTATAACTTATTGCTGTGAACCTTGTTTGGTGTAGCTGTAGGATTATAGATTTAAGCAGTAAAATAGTGTTTCGTTGATAAGCTGTAAAATAACTTTTTGCTGTGTAATTGTCATTTTCGCCCTTATATGATATAAAAATGATTATTTTGTCATTTTTTTCAATTTCAATTTTAAAAAAAATTATTTCATTAATAAAAGTTAATATAATTAGTATTACAAAAATCATTATTTTCATTAATAATATTAATTGTTAATTTTGTTTACAAAAATCATTGTTTTCATTTTTTTATTATTTTGTTTTGCTTTCATTAATATCAATTAGAACAAATTTTTTTTTTTATATTATTATTACAATACCAAAAATTATTTCATTAATAAAAGTTAATATAATTAGTATTACAAAAATCATTATTTTCATTAACAATATCAATTGTTAATTTTATTTAATTTATTAATTCATTACAATTAATATCAATTAATATACATGTCATTTCATTTAATAGAAATTATTTCATTTTTTTATTATTTTGTTTTGTTTTCATTAATATCAATTAGAACAATTATTACCATTTTTTTATATTTTTTTAATTATTATTTATTGATATTAATTGAAATAAATTTATTAAAATTGTGCAATTTATTTTAATTGATTATTTTTGTTTTAAATTTTTGTTTTTAATTGGTAAATAAATTACCAAATAAATTTATTTTTGTTTTAATTATTATTTTTATTATTTTTTTAATTATTATTTATTGATATTAATCGAAATAAATTTATTTAAATTGTGCAATTTATTTTAATTGATTATTTTTGTTTTTAATTGGTAAAGAAATTACCAAATAAATTTATTTTTGTTTTTAATTTTTAATTTTTTAATTTTTTTTTTCTTCTCTTCCTTCTTCATGAGCCATCCGTACGTCGGTGGTCTGCAACCCTAGCCACCGCCGCGATCTGGAACGGCAGAGAGGGAGTGTCGTTGCTCGTCACTGTTCACCAGCCTGAACAACTCCGGAGATGGTTTATTGGTTCGTGAGAGAGAGAGAGAGAGAGAGAGAGAGACGATGGCAGATCGCGATGCGTAGGGTTTTGAGATCACAATGTCTTCAAATCGCGATGACGGCGCCGCCTCTGACACCTCTTCTCTTTCTCTCTCTCTCTCAATTTTGAAAACACCAGGCGGCGAAAGAGGAAGCAGAACAGAGGCGGCGGTGGATTCGCCACCGTTGATCAAGGCTGTCAATTTGGCTCCCATAGACACTAGGTTTCTGTCGCCCTTCGCCACCGCGAGCCTCTGTCACTCTCATAGATCTGAATCCGAACACACAGAGAGAGAGAGAGCTAGAGCTAGAGCTAGGGTTTCAAAGAGCTGGTTGGTCGGAAATTGCCTCCCTTTCGCCGGAAATTGCCTCTCAGAGGTGTGCGAGAGACAGAAATGAGTTGTGTTTGGTTTATCTACGTGGCACAATGGTAATAACTTGAAATGGTGAGGGGCATTTAAGTCATTTTGCCATTCAAACCCCCAGCTGCGCGCTTAAGCTGAATCAAAAAGCACCTCCGGAGCAACTCAAAGAATAATCACTTTTTTTAATCACCTCCATTTCGCCAGAAATTGCCTCTCAGAGGCGTGCGAGAGACAGAAATGAGTTGTGTTTGGTTTATCTACGTGGCACAATGGTAATAACTTGAAATGGTGAGGGGCATTTAAGTCATTTTGGTGTTTGGTTTATCTACGTGGCACAATGGTAATAACTTGAAATGGTGAGGGGCATTTAAGTCATTTTGCCATTCAAACCCCCAGCTGCGCGCTTAAGCTGAATCAAAAAGCACCTCCGGAGCAACTCAAAGAATAATCACTTTTTTTACTTAATTTAAGCTAAAAGTTGATCACTTGAGCTACACCAAATACACAAAAATCACTTAATTTAAGCTGAAAGCTGAAATAAACTGGATTTAAGCTCTACCAAACACCCCCAAACACTCATGTGAAAGTTATTATAGCTTCTTTTGGGAAATGGGTTGGATTTTTTGACTTTTTTGGCTATTTTAGCCTGAGGCTAAAAAGCATGGTTTGGAAAGGGCTTTTGGTTTTTTTTTGGTTTTTTTGACTTTTTTGTGAGAGAAGAAATGTAATGATTATAGGTTGGATGTGATGTTTTGTCTTATTGGGCTAAAAAGCCTATTTTATTTTTGTCACGACCCCAAACCTGCCCCTAAGGGTTTAGCATCGTAACCGGCCAGTAATCTGTGATTACCGAAGGCCTGATTAACAGTAATAACAGTAATACAATATGAAGGGGCTGGCGGAAGCCAATCAGTAATAAAATGGTGTCCAATGAGCTGTAAAAACCTGAATGGGAAAAACTTTTATGGACTTAACCACATTCATGACTATATATATATATATATATATTTTGTGAGAGAATAAATATAATGATTATAGGTTGGATGTGATGTTTTGTCTTATTGGGCTAAAAAGCCTATTTTATTTTTGTCACGACCCCAAACCCGCCCCTAAGGGTTTAGCATCGTAACCAGCCAGTAATCTGTGATTACCGAAGGCTTGATTAACAGTAATAACAGTAATACAATATAAAGGGGCTGGCAGAAGCCAATCAGTGATAAAATGGTGTCCAATGAGCTGTGAAAACCTGAATGGGAAAAAACTTTTATGGACTTAACCACATTCATGACTATATATATATATATATATATACATATCAGATACACTTAGTATGCAGGTTAGGGATCCAATCCCTTCACCATAACTGTACAGTCAAGTCTTAAACATTCATTACATACAGAG